CAGGCAGTCAGATGGAAATGTAAGTTACACTGGTCATCCATACTCAGTCCAGGAGGAAGAGAGTGAGATAGGCCTTTATTTGTGTAAGGGGTAGTTTTTGATGGACAAAAGAAGAGGAGGAAAATAGTCTGCCCTCTAAAAAGGTTCTGATTACTGATAGTTATTCTTTTTGGTGTGAAGAAGACTGCAAGCATGAAGACGAAGCTTAAATTGAACTCAGCTGAACTAACTAATCTCATGAGAAAATGTAACATTGGTAATTTTGAATGTTATGGCAGTTAGTAACTATTTAAAATGTTTGGCAAATTGGTAGCGAATTTGTATGATATATAAACATGATTTTTTGGAAAAAGTATGCATGAAGGTCAACCCTTAACCCCAACACTAAACCTAACTATAGGCCGATTTTATGAAAACGTATGAATAAGATTGTACAAATGCAACCTGTTCGCCAAAATTTAAGGTAATGTTTGTTACCAAACCTGGTGAAACCTGTGTGAGTGAGTTACATTTTTGTAATTAGTAACTGCTGTGAACATGATAGGCGGGCATTAAGGCTGATTTATACTTCTGCGTCGGACCTACGCCGTAGCCTTTCCGCCGTAGGCTATGCGTCAGTTTTCATTTATACTTCTGCGTCGTTGTCCGCGTCAACGTGCAGTACACATGCAAACCGCTAGTCAGCAGTGTCCACGGGCATGTTGCTGGTGTAACCCGCAGTACCACGGCAAAAGCCGAAGAAGAAGCGGCTCGTCGGAGAAGCATTATAGCAGTGACGGCGGCAAATAAATATCAAATCATTAAATCATTATTTAAAACTACAAAAAGGAGACAACAACGGAACAGGAGATGATGGCATTCTTTCAATCTGCACAAGGACTTGTACCACGGCAGATCAACATTGTTTGTTGCGGACAACTACTGATGTATAATGCTATGTAGTATAATAAATGATAAGACACTTGTTCTTTGCTTTGTTTTATTTTATATAAGAAGGTGTAACATTAAAATATATTAAAGTGCACATAAACACACACAAAACTCAAGTACATATGGAGGGAGGGGTTCTTGCAGACCAATCACAGCGCTTGCGGTCCGCGTAGAATTGACGCGCTGTTCGATTTTTGGAGAGGTGCACGTCAGGCTACGGCATATGGGTGTGCGTAAGCTACACGTAAGCTACGGCGTAGGTCCGACGCAGAAGTATAAATCAGCCTTTAGTCCACTGATATCAGCCAATCACAGTACCAGTACACTGGTAATCAGCCAATCACAGGCACTGCCTTCTCTCATGTGGCTTTTATCCTGTATCTTGTGTATAAAACACAGTCAGGCACATCCATAAAGAAACATCACAAAATTGTGACCTTGTCCAAGTTTCCAAATTGTCTTTTCACTCCCCTCGCTCTCTCTGCTCTGTACCTTACTCACTCACACACACTCATTCTGTTATGTAACGTCTTACTGTATGTCACAGCCAAAGGCATTTAAGCAAATGTGTGTGTGTGTGTGTGTGTGTGTGCATAGCATGCATATCCTCTCTGGAATATTTGTTTCTTATTGGTCTGTGATGGCATTTTGCAGTTGAATATTGTTCAGTAATCATCGCTGAACTTTATAAATGGACATTGTCTCAGAGAGCAAAGTGCCTACATAGCTGTATTAGTTTCTGAACCTTGTTGAGCCTTAATCTGCATGTAATCTAATACAGTTATTTCAAATCAAATCAATATTTAATGCCCATTTAAATTATTCATTTTGTAAGCAGTATAATGTGGAGGATAATGTACAGGCAGCATTAATCAAAGTGCTTTATAAGATCAAGACGGTCTAGAAATGTTTATGGAGGACCTCGATTTTCTACATTTCATTTTTATTCTCAAACACACTAGACACACACACACACACACACACACACACACACACACACACACACAGACACAGATCATAAGTAATGAGGTGCTTAAGATGGAAAGAAATGGAGGTTACCATTTACTGGTCTAATGTCGACCTCTAGTGGCCAGTTACAAGAAGAGAATAGCAGAGGATCTGATGTAGTGGTCTAGAATTTTTTTGTGTTTACATTTTATTCTATTTTTTCTATACTCTTTTCTTAATATAATATAATATAGTTGGCACTTGGAGAATGATGGACAGAGGAATAAATGGATGATGATTCATAGAATGACGAAAGCTTGCAGAATTTAGATTACAGTGTCTGGTGCCTTTGCATCAATTGTACCTTTGTGATGTCTGAATGAGAAAGCATATGCTGTGTGTGTGTGTGTGTGTGTGTGTGTGTGTGTGTCATCCATATCTGAGCATCTAATCTTAAAACATCTCTGGAACAACAGACCTCTCATAGCATGAAATCAATTGGCATAGTACTTCAGTTTGACCTTGCATACATTTATACAAACACACTTCATAACCAAATGCATTTTTTGAAAGAGTACTTATTCATATCTCATATATTGCCGTAGGGGCTGTAGTCTATGGATGCTTACAGCTGCTACTGCGTATATGTGCGTGCTGTGCATTTCCTCCTGGGTGTGCTCTACACATTTCCATGTGGAGGCATGTGGCTGCGCATGGATTTGAATACATTACTCTGTGTTTCTGTGTGCACGCAACATTGTACATACACTGAGTGAAATGAACTTATGATCACTGCTGTTTGAGCTATTTTGGGGTCACCTTTCTTATAAAATAATCCAGTGTAGGCTGGTCTCTCCTAGTGCTGTTTTTTTGCTGATACAGTATGCATGTGGCTGAGACAGAGCAAGAGACAGATATGCAAACAAGGGTTGTGGTTTGTATGCAGATATTGAGCTGGAGAGTTTCAGTATCTCCATTAGACTGAAAAGAAAAAGACCCAAGAGACAACTCAAGAGACAAGCAGGAGTCAGAAGGTGAAATTTACCGCTGTATTTTTTTAATGTTTGATTTCAAATGCTTATATTATTATATTATATTATATTATTACTTTAAATTATTAAATTAATATATAATTTTTTGTTTTTAATTTTGTGATTCAGTTTATTTTCTTCACTCGGAGTGTTTTAAAAATAAAAATAAAAATTTTAATAATGACATTTCAGATCCTGCAATTTGCTGCAGATGACCTCTTTAAAATTGGGCCGTTTTTCTTTTCTTTTCTTTTCTTTTCTTTTCTTTTCTTTTCTTTTAAACAAGGTATGATGTACAGTTTGCTGGTCATGATCACAACCAAACCGCCACTACTTACCAAATAAAAAATATTTATATACATGGACATACATACATGGAAATATTAATCTGAGTTGAAATTATTTTATTATGTAAGCTGAAAGAGTAGCGATACGACTTGGAACTAGCGCAGTGTAGTTTAGTGATCATTTACAGTATACAAATACATTTTTTATTTGACTGCAAGTCAAAATGTATTTGGCTGAATGAAATGTTTGGGTTATCTTTTGGAATGTTTTGCTCATTGCCACACAGTCTCACAGGACATTGGAAAATGTTGGAGCAGCTTTGAGTCTATTATCGCGATTAACCTTATTATTTCAGTATGACAGGAAGTCCCATATGTTTCCATGCATGACAGGATGAATTGGCTAACAGGCCTCTTTCTCTCTTTTCCAAATACTCTGACTATTTGAGGTCTTTGCCAACAGCCTTTCCATAAAAACAGGAATTGTGTCCATTTTTTTTAGAGGTGGGTTAGCAATGGGTCATTATTTTGTAGGATTTTTCCTCAAGATGTTGCGTCCAAGTTTTAAGAACCCCTGGTGGGTCACTTAATAGTGGCGTATGTATTCACAGATATATATCCTCTAACTTACACATTACCAGTTACAATAGGTTTCAAGTCACGTAGTCAGCGGTGGCTTTGTTGATGTTCTGGGAGCAGTAGTTTCTGTTAGTCTCGGGTGAGAGAATGGCTTCTATTTCTGTTCTTCCTATATATGTGAGTTTTCAGTTGCTCAATTTTCCTCTGGTTTCTGTGTTCATTTGTATTGTGTGGTTGTTTTCATTATGGTGAAGCTCACAATGGGTTACACAAAAATAAAAATAATAGGACGTGGTCTGTCTAACAGTATGAGGTAGAGACATTTTCTAAAATAACTCTTTTCATTGACTGACTTCTTTACTTTCAATTGTGCTAACCAGACATTTCAACGGAACTACTGGACTGTTGTACTGTCACTTACAATTTTTTAATTTAGCAAACATTTTTTTCCAAAGCAACCTTAATATTGTTATACACGTGACCTTGCTTTTTCTAGCATTTTTCATAAAATCTAAATATTTCCTTCAAATATAATGTCATCTCTTTTCCTGTAGACTTGCATTGCAATTCATCTTTACCAGTCTGTTTTATCATGCTTTTCTTATAAATCAAGATACTTCAGGAAATTGCAGGAATGGTGTAATCTGTCCAGCCAGAAAAATAAATTGATTGATTTTCTTTTGACAGGGCTGATTAATATATTTATATCAGCAGCACTGACTCAAATTCAAATTAAGCACAGATGATCATTCTCTGATGTCTGGAACTTTCAAGTTACTTTCTAATTGGCTCCTCCTATTGTTCTGTGCGTCTCTTTTTTGGCAAAACATATGCAAATATTTCTGTGCTTAATTTTTTATTTTATTGAATTCTCTTCATGCTTTATTCTCATTTAAAATGTGTTTTAAAGGGACAGTGTTAGAGTCCAGCCAGTTGTCGACCGAGAACACATCAATAAAATAATTGGCAGATGTTTCTTGGGCTCCTTGTGAATCTTGGATCTCTCTGTCAGAGTTTTTCCCAATGCCTGGCAGAATCAATCAGAGTTTATTAGCTGGTTATGTTTGTCTTGGCCTTCTCGTTGTGCACTTCTCTTTTGAGACATGTATGTGTATGCTGTTAAACTAAATATTAGTTTTTATGAAGAACTGATTAGACCCTTTTTTTTTTGTGAAAAATTACATAATTTTCCCGTCTTGCCTCTCTTCCTCTATTTTGTCTACAGGGCATATCACCCACCGGACAGTGTCGACCCGAGTCCCCCGTTTATACCAACCTCCAGGAGTTAAAGATCTCTCAGTCGTCTCTCCCACCTGTTCCCTCTTCCTCCCCTCTTCATATCCTGGGCGACTGGGAAACGCACAAAGATACGAGTGGAAGAAACTTCTACTACAACCGCATGACTCAGGAAAGGACCTGGAAACCACCACGCTCACGAGACAACGGGGGCAGTCGTGGGGACACTGGAGGGAACACTGGAGACATGGAGGTAACAGACAACTGGAAAAATGCCCATTAAAAAGGCCATATTGGTCAACTTCGAAAATAATATATCTAATTTCATCTGTAAAATACAACATCTTTGCATTGATGTAATAATGCTTATGTAAGTGTGACTGTGTGCCCACATGCTTGTGCGTGTGAAAGTTTGAACTAGGCCAGAGTTGAAGTAGGTCTTCAGTCTATATTTAAGCCTTTGAAAAATGCTGTTCAGATATTTAAGCTTCAACATACGGCTGACCCAGCTTCACACAGAACAGAGTGGAGCAACTTGCTCTCTGCGGATATTACTATTATTACAGATTATTGTTTGACACAAATGTTTCTGTGTGATAAGTTGTTCTGGTTGCTGTAAGAGCTGACACGTATGTCTGTGTTTACAAGAGTAAAACGTTCGACCTGTTTTCCGAACTCCTTTAAGACAGCCGTATCTGAAGTTTCGATCTAAGTTTCACTCTTTCCATTGTTCATAGCTGCCATCTAGTGGAAAAGTGTACATTTGGGCATAATAAAAGGGGGATATGCTATGTGTTGTTGTTTATATCAGGTAAAATGTTATCTGCTACAGATGCTCTAACTTAGCGCTAAATCAGTATTAAAGTGTTTTTTTAAATAATAATAATAATTTTGATATTATTATTTTATATGTGGATATATAATAATAATAATATATATATAATTAAGATATAATATTATACTATTATTACAACTTTTATCATTGTTGTACAACTACAACTATTATCATTGTTTATTTAAAAAATAATAAATTAATAAAAAATAATAATATTAACAATAAAATGTGTGTTCATATATTTTTTTAAATAATAATATATTGTTTTTTAATAAATAATAATAGTTGTAAATAAATATAATAATAATTATGCATAAAAAATATTACATTAATAATAATAATAATAATGTGTATTCAAATGCGTTATATTTAAATAACAACATTGTTTATTACTGATAATAATAATCATAATACATTTGGTTTGTATAAAAATATATTTATTTCTTTAATAATAATAATATATAAAAACAAGTATAATAATTTTAAATATAATAATATTTGTAAATAAATAACATTCACATTTTGTTGTTTTTATCCAAAGCAACTTACTTTAGTAATAATACATTTGGTTTGTATAAAAATATATTTATTTCTTTAATAATAATAATATATAAAAACAAGTATAATAATTTTAAATATAATAATATTTGTAAATAAATAACATTCACATTTTGTTGTTTTTATCCAAAGCAACTTACTTTAGTAATAATACATTTGGTTTGTATAAAAATATATTTATTTCTTTAATAATAATAATATATAAAAACAAGTATAATCATTTTAAATATAATAATATTTGTAAATAAATAACATTCACATTTTGTTGTTTTTATCCAAAGCGACTTACTTTAGTGTTGTTAGTGCCATGCCATACTGTTGACGTTGCATTTTTTTATTTTTTTTATTTTTTATGATTCTTGTCTTTCTGACATAGTTTCCCCCTCATTGTCTTGTCTCACTGTATTGTTCAGCATTTGTCTTCTGAGGAGATTTGTCCCAGCACACACTCCAGTCAGTCAGACAGTCAGTACGGATCGCCCCCTAGAGGCTGGTCTGAGGAACTGGATGAACATGGCCACACACTCTATGTGTCTGAATACACCAATGAGAAGGTGCTGGAAAGAGCTGCTTACATACAGAAATCTCATTTTCTTATGGATGAGACACAGTGTAAGGAATGTTTTTTCTTTGTTTGACAGTGGATCAAGCATGTGGACGAACAAGGCCGGCCATATTACTACAGTGCTGATGGATCCCGCTCAGAATGGGAGTTACCAAAAGTAAGTTAAACTTTTTCCACAGGTATACCCAGACAGCCTTTCTTCTGTCTTTGGATCATGTGTGATCATTGACCGCTTTAGCTCAAGTGTTAACCAGGACAGTAGGAGGTTTACTGGGAAAATCTAAAAGTAACCCTGATTCCCTAATCTAGTTAGTTGAGATCAGTGTCTCTAGTGGCCCAGTCGCTGCTGGACAGTGTTTATCTGACCACACACTTCTCTTTTATTACACATCCTCTCATTCCATCTAACATATACACACATGTTGTACTCTGGGGGGCTGAGTGGGTTGGGTGGGCTTATGTTCGGAGGAGGGGATCTGACCGCACATGGTGCTGTGGACGGCGAGGAGAGAGGTACTTCAATGACTGTTCTCTTTACTTTTCTGTGTTTTTATCACTGTCAGTACTCATTTCGTATGTAAACTGGTTTATTTAACCAACCTTTATTTTTCCTTGAAACATTTTCCAGTACAATTATGTATAAATTATCTTCTGAATATTATTTTTGTGGTGACTCTGCTGATTTTTGATTTGCTTGCCCACTATATTTTGTGTTTCTCTCATCACTAATTGGTTTTAAACCAATTCAACCAAATCACTTTCTCCCTCTCTTTTCCTTCCTGTTTGTTCCCAGTATAATCTCTCTCCTCCAATCTCTGGAGAAGCTCCTAAGAGTCACAGTTTGGAAAGGAAGCAGCAGGAGCCCATTGTGCTGACCAAGTGGAGACACAGCACCTATGTGCTGGACATCAGTGAGAAGGTACATGCCTATGTTGTAAAAGACAAACAAATATTATTCTTTAGCACGATTAAACATGGTCTACACAATACAGTTCTCTTTTGTGTGATATATATAAACTTACCAATTAAAAGTTTGGGGTTGGCAAATGTTTTTGAAAGAAGTCTCTTATGCTCACCAAGGCTTGATTTAGTTGATCAAAATATAGTAAAAACAGTAATATGACATACTTTTACAATTTAAAATACTGTTTTCTGTTCTAGCTCTTGTATTATTTTCAGATTCTGGGTGTAATTTATTCAAATTGAGTGACCTTAATTGGATTCAGATTAGGGCTGCACGATTAATCAAATGTGATTGTCATGCGCATCTTGTCAGTAAAGCCGGTTCTGTGATTAGTAGTAAATCTCCATCACCTGCTTTCAGCTGGAGCAGCATTTACTACACAGAGCCATAGTTCACTGACAAGCTAAGAAAAATCGTGTTCATAATCGCAGACGATTTAATCGCGCGATTATGAATTCGAAGAAATCGTTCTGCGATTATGAAAGCTGTTTACGGAGCTTGTCAGTGAACTACGGCTCTGTGTAGTAAATGCTGTTCCATCTGAAAGCACGTGAAAATACCACATTTAATAACATGTTTTTACTCCAAACTCACTTCATGATGTCAGTCGAGTGTTTGAAATACATCCTTCTGTGAGATGTAGCTAAGCAGTGATAATCGATTAGCATTGCATTATATACTTTATTATAATAAAAATTATAATAAGACGAACTCAGATAAACCATATATTGTCATAGTCATGTGTTTATTAGTCACGTTGAATTAATCAAAGCAGTTAAATCTTCTGTTTATTCCTCAACCGTTATAAGCATTTTCTGGGTTTCTTTTGCGAGGCGTATTTGCAGTTTCAGCACGAGAGCGCCCTCTGGCCTTCGGATGGAGATTTACTGTTCATCACAGAACCGTGCTTCACTGAAAGATACGCATGACCATCGCAGCTTGACTAATCGCCTTATCGCCTTTGCGATTTAAATTCGATTAATCGTGCAGCCCTAGATTCAGTACAGTTCACCAAAAATCACACAATTAAAAAAAAAAAAAAAAAGAAAAAACAGTAAACGATTAACAAAAAATAAACATAGAACATGCGATTTTTAAAACGGTATTTTTTTTCTTTTTCAAAAATATATGAAGTATTGTTACTATTTTTTATTTTAAATTGAACATGTTTGATTTATTTTTAAATGTATGTATTTTATTTATTTATTTTGGTATGCTTTTGTGAAGCTCAAGCAGTAGAACATGGCACTACTTGGCAATGGCAAGATTATGGGTTTGATTCCCTGTGAAATTTCTATGCTTGAACTGGTAAAAATGTACACCTTCAATGTTGTGTACATTTCTTCAGATAAAAGCGTCTGCCAAATGCATAAATGTAAATATAAATGCCCTACGAGGGTACCTGATATAACAAAATACATTTTTTTTTTTTTTGTGCAGCTGCCATTAACCATGAAATTGCTTGTCAAACTGACCCGCAAACATAATTGTAACAAATATTTTGCATGCACAAGCACACATTCCAAAACATCACGGAGTGTAAAAACTTTGCAGGCATGAATGAGAGATTGTTACAAAAAATAAAAATTATCCTAGGTTAACCATTATTTCTGGCAATAATTTTGTTGTTACGGGTCAAATTGCAATAACAAGTGTTAATACATTTTATAATGTAATTTATTCCTTTGATGGCAAAGCTGAATTTTCAGAAATCATTTTAATATGCTGATTTGGTACTTAGGAAACATTTGTTATTATCACAGCTACAAACTGTAAATATTAAAATGTTAGACCAACACATAATGAGCTGCTTTTATGTTTATTTTCTTATTTATTTATTAAATAAATTTATTTATTTATTTATTTTATTTTTTGGTGTTTATTGTTATTATTGACCAGCATGTAGCCTAAAAGCCATTTAGGAAGCTGTCAAAGTCATTTTTTCCTTCACCCAGATGCCAGTGAAGATTAACACTGATCAAATATATTTCCTCCAGGAGAGCACAAGGCTTTTAACAGGCCTTAATCTTGTGCATTTTATTCATGCGCATCTGTGAGTGTGTGTGTGAGAGAGAGAGCGCATGTGGTTTGTATTTTTATTTAGTTATGCTGGTTCTGTAAAGATGCTAAATGAAACAAGCCTGATATTATGTTGCTCTTGTTTCACACAATGGTTCTCATTCCAGCTGCCATTCAAAAACAGATGGTTCAGTGTGAGCCGCCTCCCCAGGGGCTTCGGCCTATCACTGTACAGAGAAGTTAGTCGCCTCATTATGCTGTAACCAATCAGATGTGATTTCTTCACTTCACAAATTGAAATTGTTTTCAAGCGAATCAAGGAAACAAGTCAGCTTTGAGTTAATCAAAACCTGCTCAAAATGTGCACTTTATCATTGATACGTGATGTATCTGGGTGTGATGCTTATTTGTATGCTTGTGTCTGCTGCCTTTTTACTAACTCCTCATTAACTAATTTTATTACTGACATGTCAACAAAATCTTGTCCATGTCCTTACAAATCATTAATGGCAAAATTTGAGATAACAGTGATTCTGACCATTATCTATCATACAAACACTGATATATCAGCCTTTTTCTCTTAGGAAATTCTTAACTGCCTTCAGAATGGGTCTAACTTCTTTTTGTATTCATCCTCAAACACCCTCTATTCTGAATGTTTAACACCGCTCTTTTTCTGCTTTATGACTTGCAGGAGTCTGTAATTGCCAAACACTACTCTCCTGAATCAGACTCTTGCCCCTCTTCACCAAAACATCCCTCTGCCGTTAGTATACACACTAACCCATGTGATTTTATGCATGCTCTTCTCAGTGTATTAACATTCAGTTCTCTTCTAAATGCATGTTGTCATCAGAATGTGCAATACAATTTCCAAATTTAAATACTACTGCTTCTGCAAATAATAATTTATAATTTATACTATTATATATATATATATATATATATGCTCGTTATAATAATATATATTATTATTTTACTTATTTTCCCTTTGTTTGTAATATATTTTTTTACTTTTAATTTTTATTTACTAAGCTAATTTTTCTGCTCTCTGTAGCCCTCGGAAAAGTGTGGTGTTCTCAATGTCACCAAGATTACTGAACATGGCAAGAAAGTCAGGTAAAAACTGCATCACTGAATATTGCCATTCATTTTTTAATAGATGTGGGGAAATAGATAAACTAATGACATTTTAATAAAATCATAATAATATTTATATGCAATATATATTGGTAGTACCAATTCAGGGACCAATTCTAACTATTAACTAGTTGCTTATTAGCATGCATATTATTAGCACATTGGCTGATTATTAGTACTTATAAATCATATATGTATGCCTTATTCTGCATGACAAATATTTTAGATCCCTTAATCCTACCCCATACGTAAACATAACTACTACCTTACTAATTATTAGTAAGGAGCAAATTAAGAGTTTGAGGCAAAAGTTGTAGTTAATAGTTAGGTAACTAAAACTGAAGTGTCACCTATATATTCTTAAAATAAATTTTGTGGCCTCTAAGAATTAATGTATTGTGCTGCAATGAAAAATGAAAGCATGGGTCATTTAAAAGCGTTTTTATTCCCTTTTCTAGTTTCTCATTTGATCTTTAAAATAGTGACACAGATGCATCTATTGTTTTTATTGTCCTGCAGGAAGAATTGGGCCTCCACCTGGACTGTCCTGCAGGGATCCTCTTTACTTTTTGCAAAGGGTCAGGGCAGTGGCACCAGCTGGGTATGTATTCATGCCGGGTTACAATGGCCTGTTCATCTGAGACAAATGTGGAATTATTCTCTTGGTAATTCTTGACCTTATTAGTCAGCGTTATTTCAATTTACATGCTTTGAATACTGGCAGGATTTTTCTACCTCAAATTTGCCTGCATTTATGCTGGAGTGTATCATGCAAACTGCATCCACATTCAAGTGTAAACAAAAAGAGGCCTACGTGCTTTCATGTAAAATCACTATTAATATTAGCTCTCTTGCTGATTTGTACCTCTCTCCTTCATTTATTTCTCCCATGTGTGTTTTCATGCATCATCACTCTATATATGCTCGTTATAATAATATATATTATTATTTTACTTATTTTCCCTTTGTTTGTAATATATTTTTTTACTTTTAATTTTTATTTACTAAGCTAATTTTTCTGCTCTCTGTAGCCCTCGGAAAAGTGTGGTGTTCTCAATGTCACCAAGATTACTGAACATGGCAAGAAAGTCAGGTAAAAACTGCATCACTGAATATTGCCATTCATTTTTTAATAGATGTGGGGAAATAGATAAACTAATGACATTTTAATAAAATCATAATAATATTTATATGCAATATATATTGGTAGTACCAATTCAGGGACCAATTCTAACTATTAACTAGTTGCTTATTAGCATGCATATTATTAGCACATTGGCTGATTATTAGTACTTATAAATCATATATGTATGCCTTATTCTGCATGACAAATATTTTAGATCCCTTAATCCTACCCCATACGTAAACATAACTACTACCTTACTAATTATTAGTAAGGAGCAAATTAAGAGTTTGAGGCAAAAGTTGTAGTTAATAGTTAGGTAACTAAAACTGAAGTGTCACCTATATATTCTTAAAATAAATTTTGTGGCCTCTAAGAATTAATGTATTGTGCTGCAATGAAAAATGAAAGCATGGGTCATTTAAAAGCGTTTTTATTCCCTTTTCTAGTTTCTCATTTGATCTTTAAAATAGTGACACAGATGCATCTATTGTTTTTATTGTCCTGCAGGAAGAATTGGGCCTCCACCTGGACTGTCCTGCAGGGATCCTCTTTACTTTTTGCAAAGGGTCAGGGCAGTGGCACCAGCTGGGTATGTATTCATGCCGGGTTACAATGGCCTGTTCATCTGAGACAAATGTGGAATTATTCTCTTGGTAATTCTTGACCTTATTAGTCAGCGTTATTTCAATTTACATGCTTTGAATACTGGCAGGATTTTTCTACCTCAAATTTGCCTGCATTTATGCTGGAGTGTATCATGCAAACTGCATCCACATTCAAGTGTAAACAAAAAGAGGCCTACGTGCTTTCATGTAAAATCACTATTAATATTAGCTCTCTTGCTGATTTGTACCTCTCTCCTTCATTTATTTCTCCCATGTGTGTTTTCATGCATCATCACTCTCTTTTCTGTTCCTTTCTTCCATCTCTTCCCTGTCTCTTCAAAGTCGTACTGCCGCAATGGTTCCTTTCCTGAACTCCTCCTTTCATTGCTAAGTAACTGGAAGCGTTCGATTAAGCCCCGGCCCGCAGTGTCCTATACAAACTGTAGACGCAGCCGGGCTTCCTCTGTATGTGTCAGCTTCTCTGGACAGAGTGAATGTGCCCTCGATGCTGATCAAGGAACAGTTTTGCCTAGATTAACAGATTTGTGATTTGATAAACTTCATTAGATGGTTTTAAATAGGCCATCTAATTTCTAAAATTTCTACAAATTTTAGAAATTAGTAGTATTTAATATAAGTTCATTATTTAAATAATTGTATGATACAGATCTGTTTTGAGATCAGCTGAGCAGGGCAGCTTGTCTCCCATTTTATTTGTGCACGTCCTACTTTCTGCCTGCGCGCCACATTTATCGGCCCCTGCTCTGTGCTTGAAGTTCCTCCAGCAAGAGAGGGTGAATTTTAAACTTTTACAATGTCAAATAACCAGAGATAGTAAATGAAAATGGATGCACTAAGAACCTTATGTTTGCTGGCATGCATTTCTGCATATTCCGACTAATTTATTTTATGGTGTGTGAATGTGTAAACATCTGTATTATCACAACATACAAAAAGAAGCTTAGCATTGTGCAAAGCAAAATGTGGGAATGCTCTTTGCAAACCTAGGCCATAAATTATAAGACAGTGTTGCGTGTGCATTTAATATTCAAGTCTAACCTATTATTGCACATTTGGCACCCAGAACTAATTGACACGTAAAATGCTTTTGACCCAGGAACTCACTATATGAGCTATCACTATAGCTCGTGTTTAACAGCACTGAACTAAAGAGAATCCTTAAATAACTCCCGATGATTTACTTAGAGAGTGACAGGATTTAAACTGAGTTGTTCAATTCACCTTGTTTTTCAAGTTTGGAGGCAACCAGTCCAAACCAGAATTCATGGTGGACCTGCGAGGAGGTTCGGTCGAGTGGGCATCCAAAGAAAAGTCCAGCAAGAAACATGTCATTGAGGTGAGAGTCAGCTGATTTTACTTTTGGATTTCTTAAAATCTTCAACACTGTTGGAAACACTTAAAGGGATAGTTCACACAAAAATGAACAGTCTATCATCATTTACTCATACTCAAATATGAGTTTCTTTTTTCTGTTGAGCACAAAAGAAGATATTTTGAAGAATGTTGGTAACCAAACAGTTGACGGTAGCTGTTGGGTTCTAAAGTATTTTTTACATACTATGGAAGTCAATGGCTACCATCAACTGGTTGGTTACCAACATTCTTCAAAATATCTTCTTTTGTGCTCAACAGAAGAAAGAAACTCATACAGGTTTGGAACAACATGAGGGTGAGTAAATGATGACAGAATGTTAATGTTTTAACAATTCTGGTTCATTTACAGTAATTACAGAGCAATTTCCCGGTGAATTAGTAGACTATAATAAAGCAGTAAGCCATGAGATACTGTTAGTTACAGTGATTTTTTTTTCACTGGTACGGATGTAAATCGCAGTGCCTAGAACTCTCTTAACTGTGGCAAAATTACTGTATCACACAGCCATTACTGGCTTATTGCTTTTATAAAACATGCTTTTTATTTAATGGCAGCAGCAGTACAATAAAAGACAAATGTGTTTAACAAATAGTTAATTTATTACTTATTTAGTCATTTTTATTAGTAATTATTTAGTGTTTATTAGAAATGAAAATATAATTAAATTGCATCAAATTCTGTAATACAATTAATTATCATAATTGCAGTATAATGATTACGATTGCCAAGTAACATAACAATTATCCATTTACAATACAAGTTTTCCAGGATTAACTACAAATATTCTTACTGTAACTGAATCTGTCCTGACTCCTGCCTAATATGCTCCCACTGACCTGATCTGAACTTTGACCCTGGCAGCTGAAGACACGAGTGGGCACAGAGCTGCTGATCCAGTCTGAGATTGACACTGTTATTAATGACTGGTTCAGAGCGCTTTCTGAGACCATCAACACACATGTGAGTGAAATACACACACCACACTGCACAAAATTATGACATAAACTGCATACACAGATGTTCAAAGGTACATTGTAATGATAATGCATGTGTTGTAGGCTTGGGAGTCTGATGAGGCCATTGAGGAGGACATGCCTGAGTCTCCTGGAACTGAGAAACACGACAGAGAGAAAGACCCCCGAGACTCAAAGAAAAACAGAGGTACTGAAGACATACATTTGTAAACTAAATCATGACGACACAGGGTTTGATGAGTCATGACACACATCTGGGTGTTTGTGCACTAGTAAAGAACTCCAGTTTGGATTCGTCTGAGCAGAAGAAGACCAGAGTCAAACTGAAGAAGTTCCTCACACGGAGACCCACCTTACAGGCTGTCAGGGATAAGGGCTACATAAAAGGTAAAATACACTAATAGAAGCACATACAGCTTAGGAGTTAACTAGAGTTTGGGGCTTTTAATGAATGATCTACATAAAGAGGAAGCAGTTCTGTTAACCCTTCTGTCTGTTTTCAGATCAGGTGTTTGGCTGCAGTTTGACTGCCCTGTGTCAGAGAGAAGGCACTTCCGTACCTAATTTTGTCAAGATGTGCATTGAGCATGTGGAGAATACAGGTATGTATCTGTTTGTTTCATCAACTGGATTACTTATACATTTTTGAGTTGTCATTCTAGGACTACATTCACTTCCTGTCTCATTTCTCTGTATCTTTTTCTCAGGCTTGAATATCGATGGCTTGTACAGAGTCAGTGGAAACCTGGCTGTCATACAGAAACTGCGCTTTGCGGTCAATCACGGTAGAGAAGAACTGTTTAGTTCTGAATGTAGTTTTTTTTAAATGATACAATCTCGCAAACGGCTCTCACCCACCAGTGTTTTTATTGTTAACTAAAAATGAAAAATACATTTAAAATAAATAAATAAATATCATTTTAGTCATTGAAATAAAGCTGAAATAAAATTCAATAAAAAATATTAGATGGAACAACTTAAGCTTTAAAAGCTTAAATGAAAATTACAAATGTGTTGCCTTGGCAACGAACTGAAATAAAATAAGTTTAAATAGAAGTACTAAAATTACTAAAACGAAAACTTAAATAAAAGAACTATATAGAAGTATATATCTAAAAAAAATTATTAAAATGACAAAAGCACATATTTAACTAAAATTAAATTGAAAACTAAAAATAAAAGCCAATTCAAAATTTTAATAAATACTATGATAGTATATGAATGATACTGAAATAACCAGGCACATCTCCTACCCTGAGGATAACGACAAAGTTCAAACAATCAGATGGTTGTAGAAAAGCTCAGTGGTAGAGCATTGCGTTAGCAGCGTAAAAGGTCATGGGTTCAATTCCCAGGGAACACACATACTGGTAAAAAAATGTATAGCCTGAATGCACTGTAAGTCGCTTTTAAGCATTTGCTAAATGCATAAATTAAAATCAATTAATTAATTTAATTAATTAATATCAGTCTGATATAGTGTGTCAGCAGCTTTGGTTTGAATCGATATGAAGGGTGTGTTTATTTGTCTGCAGATGAAAAGGTGAATCTGGAAGACAATAAATGGGAGGATATCCACGTGACTACAGGTGCTCTGAAGATGTTTTTCCGGGAGCTTCCAGAGCCTCTGTTCACTTACGCATCCTTTAATGACTTTGTCGAAGCCATCAGTGAGTACTTTCATTTTTCTGTCTGTTAGATATCAGGTTTAAGGTGAGCTGCAAAAGTGTGAGCGGCTCAGAAATTTTGTTTCGTATTTGTCATGTTTTTCTTGAATGTTTCCACTTCTATTAATTTCTTAAAATTCTCCTGTCCCCCATTTTAATCAAGGATTTTAAGGATTTTTAAAAGTTTAAAACAAAGAAATGCTGTGATGTAAAATGAAGATGAAGTATAAAATATTCTTCACCATTTCTTGGTCACTTATCAAAAGAATTTGTGACACTTATGTAAACTCCTTTGTACAAATGTTCAGATGTTCTTGCTTTTTTATGTACACCACTACTGTTCTAAAGTTTGGGGTCAGGAAGTTTTTTTAATGTTTATGAAAGAAGTCTCTTATGCTTACCAAGGTTACATTTATTTGATTAAAAATACAGTAAAACAAGTAATATTGTGAAATATTATTGCAATTTAAGACCTTGATTTTAATACCTTTAAAAATGCAATTTTTCCTGTGATGGGATGGCAAAGCTACATTTTCAGCAGCCATTACTGCAGTGAATTGTCACACGAGCCTTCAGAAATCATTCTAATATGGTGATTTGGTGATCAAGAAATATACAAAATGCTCTTTGAATGTTCTTTAGGGTAAGGGTACAGAATGGACATTGATTTTATTATGCTCCCAGAATACTAATAAAGCATCAGCCACAAGAGGGAGCAGTTTGACTTGGGAATAGTTTTCCTTGCCGTTCCCAGACTTGGATCATCAGTAGCATCTCAACCATATCCTAATCCTGCTTTTTCATTTTGCTTACTTTTCAGAACACTCCGATTACAAGCAGCGAGTCCAATCCATAAAAGACTTGATCAAACAGTTGCCAAAACCCAGTCAGGAAACAATGAAAGTGTTATTCAAACACCTGAAAAGGTAAGGAATTGCTCCTGTCGGTGTTTTAAATGGAACTTCAGTATATTATTCACAGGGCCCTTTATTGCAAGGATGGATTTGTCATTTTGAGTTAAAAGGCCTTCCTTTCCAAACCATCATCATTCATTATTGATTTAGGGCCATGCTGGTGTGTGTGATTGTTAGAGGTGAGGAGGGTGTGGTCGGTGCTTTGCACAGCAAGCCTCTATCGAGTTATCTCACTGTATCCATTACTGGGACAGACCTGGAGACTAGCCAACTACATCATTATGAAAGAGAGAGAGAGAGACATGTGGAGCAGGTCAGGAGAGAGGGACAGGAAGAGTCTGGAAGGAGGGTGTACACCACATCCTACTGATGCATTGCCATTGGCACTGGGGTGTGATGCATGAGCCACAGAGAGAGATAGAGAGTCTTGAGAAATATTAAGAGCAGAAGACTGACAGAGAGAGAACATGAAGGAACGTGTGAGCGTGAGGTGCTGTAGTTAATCCAGGGCCCGCTGTCTGTGATTGTGATGCAGTAGGAATGTAATTCAGTTAGTTAACAGCCAGTGTAAACAGTTTTTGACTGTGACATCAACCTTGGGAGCTTCACAGGAAACGGCAGATGTGGAGAACGCAACTGTTATGTTGCTGATGCTCCAGGCTCTTTTAGTAGATCTTGTGTAGTGTTGATCTGCATCAAGTGGTATCCTCTTTGCAGCTCTTTCTGGCAAAGACATGCCCATTTAGACAGGAAGAAACTGATTGACGTTTAAAATGACCCACTTACTTTGTTGTTACTAGGATTGCTCTGATATAAAAATTTTGGCAAATACTAAATATATAAACTATTTTACCTGAATAAAAATAAAGATAAATAAAACACTAAAAAGTACAGTCAATCATTTTATAGTGAATTTAGGCATCACAACATTATAATGTACATTATGAAAAATGGATAATCATTTTGAGATTTGCTAAAGGTTACATTTAACAGTTTTATTCAATTATCAATGTTTTTAAAGAGTTTTAGATTATGGCAAATATAATCTAAATGTAAAAAATATATGCGCATGCACAATTAAATATCCAATACTGGCTGGTACCGATTAAAAAAAACACACACACACAAAACAAAACTTTTTTTGTTTTGTTTTGTTTTGATTGTTTGAACAATATCTGTCTATCAGTTGTTTTATAATATCTGATCAATTATTATTTATGTCTACAAAAAATTGCTGAAAAAACCCTGTTTACGTAATTACATTACCATTCATTACCATTTGGATTTTTTTTTTTTTTTTTTTTTTTAAAAAAGCCTTTTTTTACCACAAAGTATTTTTTGGTCCTCCC